AAAGGTTCTGTGTTATTTGGACAAGTATTTTCACTGAATTTACATGTTGTTTTACCGCATTTATATTAAAATCTGTGTAATAACTCGAAGAAACAGGTATTATGATGGCCAACGATAGCTTGTTTAATAAAAATATCGAATTATTTAATTTTCGTATTCGTTTTTTTAAAAACAGAGATTCGCAAAACTGTGATTTTTTTAATAGACAACAGTGGACTTAGGTCAAAATGTAAAAGAGTAGCTAGGTATTCAATAAAATATGATAAAAATCTATATTAGACCAAATCTTTTATCAAAAATACAAATTGTTTTTGGTCTCCTTATAATTATGTATCATAAAATTAACTTACTGACTAAATTTCAAACTCATAGCTTCAGTGGTTCTGGCTAGGCGATAAATCACCCAGGACAAGTTATTTTATATATACAGATATTATATTATTATAAGACATATTATTCTACAAACCGATCACGAACTCCGAACATATCGTTTTCTTTAGGTCTTGTAATATATGCTTATAATATATATATACCTATAATCTAATTTTAATTAAGATGTCATCGTGATACGTGTTCTGTGTGCTGATAGATTTTTCTATACTGCCTACACGAGATACGTAAAAAATACCATGGGTATTATAATCATCATAAGTTCGAAGTGTTTTAAGTGTTAAGTGATAGGAGTTATGTTATTGTAAGTAAATCGATAAGACTAAATATATCTGTCTTGATGTAAAATTTTACACATGCAATAGTTGTCTGGGGAGGGGGGAATTTGACGGTTGTGTTAACGTAGCCAAATATTGTAAAAAAGTATTGTAACATTATGATAATGACTCTATAATTCACAAAAAATAATTTTTGTCATTGTCAATCTATTTATCGCGCTTGCAACATAACTCCGTGGTTCGGTATAAAAGTAGGCATATTCATTATGGTACCTATACTGATTGTAGTCGGATAATAAAAAAATAAAATTCCTTTGTGAGGGTTGTATAATTTTTCGCAATTACATTGTTTCAGTATGTGCCTATATAATAACTGGTCGACATATACGTTTGATTATTACTGTAGTGTTGCGTGTTTCGCTGAGTTTTTTTTTTTTTTTGGAAAACGCAGGACAGCTGTTGATGTCAGAGTAGTGCAGATAATATTATTTGTACCGTTGAGAGTTGATACATGCCAAACACACACGACACGTATCCACATATTACGTATATATATATGTACAATTTGTTTTCAAATGGATTCTCTGAGTAAATGTAATATCATATTATATTTGCGTGCGCCATAACGTTTTTTTTTTACCGATTACAATCAATTTTTGGAAATGTTTTATAGGTATAAAAGGTATAGGTATATGTTATGTGCGCGCGGAATGAAACATAAACGCTACCGCCCATTACTGCAAAACAGTAGCTACTGCAGCGAAAGCAGCAGCTGTTCATAGTATTACTATTAATACTTACTCTCTTTGTCAGCGACATGTACTCGTATATATATTCGTTTCCGATTCTCTATACTACATGTTATTATAATAATGGTCACAAATCGCGACATCTGTATAACAATCGTCCCCAAATTGAAATGATGAAATAAAAAAAACACACACACACACAATCGGACCACTTATCCGTTTACTTTGTCATCGTTTCCGACTGTACCTTTTTTTCTTTTTTAAATCGTCTTTTCGTTTAAAATCCATCCAAGGATACAGTAATATTGGACCTACCGGTAAATTTAGTCACGTATACACACATAAGTACATAAATATTATTGAAAACTCGTGGTGCACGTTGTATACGCTCCTCGTCCGTCGTACATAACAATATTGATTCGTTAACAATAAAGTTACAATTATTTACGGATGCACGTAATGGTCTCCGGCATATAACAAGGAACTAAACGTTCATTATCATTAACTAAAAGCCAAGCCTTGCCTTTAAAACCACTCTTTCCAATCATTTGCTATTCTGTTCGTTTCAGTAAACGGTCTACATTGCATCGTGTTCTGGATGTCTTGAAAATATTGTTTTCGAAGGCGTCCACTTAGTTTTCTCCTCGTACTGTTCCTTCAAAAATATTCGTAATTAAATAATTGTGTCTTAATATGAGCTTAGTAGAAAAGGATTTGGAAGATCTTGGAGCGCTGAATTGGAGGGAGATAGTACAGGATCGAGATAAATTGAGTGATTTGGTGATGGCGGCGATAATTCGTCACTTAGAGAGTTATGAAATCCATAAAAAGAAGAAGAATATGAGATTAGTAACAATTCTTACTACAATTATTTTAACTACACGTTTTCAATATTGAATATTATTGTCACGGCTACCCAAGTGACGCGTGAAAAGCTTCCGGATTCCCCGAAGCACACAAAACATTAATTCTAGAGGATTGCAAGCCATGATATTCTGTCTGTTTCTATCACACGCGCAATATAGGGATTTAAACGTTTTATGTTTCCAACGTACCGATTGCTTTATTGATGTGATAAGGATTTTGAAAACTGATTTGAATTCGTCATAAACTCTTCTTTAGATCGACTTCCCCACTTTTTTGATTTTGTTTCCCGAAATTTTACAAAATAGAATTAAACAAATTGGAAACATAAAAAATTAGTTTTTGGGTAAGTTAGGTACATAATTTAAAAAATTGTGAGAAAATCGATCTAAAGAAGACTTTACGACGAATTCAAATAAGTTTTCAAAATCATTATCGCCTTAATTGATCGATCGGTACGTTCAAAATAGAAAACGTATAAATCTATATATTGCGCGTGTGATGGAAAGAATGGTAGAAAATCATGGCTTGCAATCCCCTTAATAATATAAAAAAATATCCATAGATAATTAACAGTAGATATTACTGAAGTGTTCATCTAAGATAGATGAATCGATAAAGTTTATGTTTCTATTTAGATAAAATAATAGATTGTTGATATTTTTATCTAGATAAGTGTCAACACTAGTTATATAAATTAAAATCATATAAATGACAATGGTAAAGTGGACGACGGAGAAGAAGAGTTGCTGTACTGTTAATGGTCTTCACTAGAGGTCCATTTCCCTAGCACCCCCACTATCGAATTTCGGGTCCGATCCGGTCCCAATCGTTTGTACCTCGTTTATATCTGATTGTACCTCTAGTCCCTTCGTTTGTACCTCAACAGTTTTTAAGTTATAACTGTTTTAATTGTGGGGGTGCTGGGGAAATGCCTGCACCCCCACTTTCGAATTTCGGGTCCGATCCGGTCCCAATCGTTTGTACCTCGTTTATACCTGATTGTACCTCTAGTCCCTTCGTTTGTACCTCAACAGTTTTTAAGTTATAACTGTTTTATTTGTGGGGGTGCTGGGGAAATGGACCTCTTCACTAGTTCAGAATTCATTTATCGTTATTATTGAAATGCGTGCGCAAACCGAAGCGAACTTTATAGTTATTATTATTTATTGTAGTATACGCGAATCTTTGCGAACGTAACAAATTTAAATTGATTTAATTGCAGACACTTATTAGTAGTAATGTTATACAAAAAATATAATGAAAGTCAACGGGAAAAATATCGTCGGGAGAGATATTTTTAACGACCGATTTCAAACAGCGTTTTTCAATTATTAATTCAGCCCCGTTGGTTGAAATTTCACTGCGCCGTGTAGCCGCTAGGGTTTTATCCGATTTCGAGAGTTTCGTGCGCGTACGTTTGGTCGCGTGACCACCAACTATAAGGAGCCGCACGCGAATCCCGACGTTTTGCTAATAATATTGACATATTATTATAAACATACACGTACACGCGCGTCCTAGGACAACGGCGAGTTGCGCGCGCGGATAAAACTTCACTATTGTATTATTATTACACTCTGCGAGCAACACAAAATATTCATACCCTTAGCAATAATATTATTATGCCACGGCAGCGATAACGTAGCGCGGTGAATAAAATATAAATTTGCGGTACAGACGTATAAACGGTAATGTATAAAACAACGGCGTAATGCATACACACGCCGATGACGGTTTGCGACTTGCGTGAAAAATAATTCTTGGGTTAACGTTTTGTTAATAAATTACGAACGGGGAGAACGGCGGCGCACGCGATATGACGAGGACGATACATGCTATATCGTCGAACGGGTCTGAAACCTGACGCGAAACGTTCAAAACGTTGCGCGAACACGGTTTCCATTGCGTGTCGATCGCCGCGCCGGTGCCGGAGCGGAAGTCCAAGTCAAGTCCAGGACCAGGAGAAACAGCCCGAGTAGATTTCGCAGGGACGACCGCGTGATGTATGCGCTGGACAGATTCCATAGGACGTGTACGCGTAACGCGGTAAAACGTACGTGTAGGCTTATAACGAAGGTAGTGTAATAGTGATTCGATCGATAAAAACGCAGTAAATGTTTTGTCGTGGTGAAATAACACAATGTAATATTGTTGTTGCGGTATGCGCGCGCGCGCGCTTATGTGTACCTACCTACCACCGAAATCAGGCGGTCAACGTGTTCTCATTGTGCGCGAGTTGTAGCGGTATGGGGACGAGCAAGAGAGTGAGGCGACAAGGAACGAAGAGGTTGGGAAAAAAAAACATAATGTTATCCGAAGAGAGCCCATTGTGCGACCCTGCATGCCGCTGCCGCCGTCGAAGGGCCGGTGGTGCGTGTGTGTGTCTATTGTCGGCGACACATATTTTCGAATATGTAAGAACGACGAGGGCAGCGAACGGGAGCGGTCGGGTGGTGGCGGTGGTGGTGTTGAGGGTGAAGAAAAAAAAAACGTATACACACACACGGAAAGAATAATATCATTTCTCCGCCGCCGCCGCCGCAGTTACTTATACACAGAAGCCGCCGCCGCGCCCGGTGGGGTGGCCGCCGCCGAACAAGTGGTTGTGCACGTCGTACGCCAGCGCTCGGCTGCGGCGGCGACCATCCGGCGCGCATTCTGGCGGCCGAAACGCGTCACCGGCGGGTGGCCGACGCATACGTCCGTCGCCGAGCGCCGAGACAGTTTCTCGCCGACGACCGTCCCGACCGGTCTGCCTACGTTCAGTTCGTTACTGCGCGCGTCCGCTCGCCATCCGACCGCGTCCCGATAGTATTGTGTGCGCGCGCGCCGCGAAGTGCGTTTTCGTGCGTTTTTGGTTTTTATTATTATTACTATTACATGTTCCGTTCGTGATTCTATTACTTCTTTTTTTTTTTTTATATATATTAATTTTTAATCGTAATTATTTTTTTTTTTCACCGTCCCGAAACCGCCGGGGCACATAATATCCGTTTTAATTGTTCGAAAAATAATCGTTTTATGAGTGCGTCGACGCGGCGATCGGGCAATCGTATCGCGTGGTGAAAATTGAAAACATTTCTATTTTTTCCGCCCCCCTTACGCCCGGAAAAAAATCCGGAATTTTTTCCCGTGTGATGTGCGTCCGGTGACGGTTTCGCGCGCCGGTGTCTCTTTTTTCGTGCCCGTCCCCGTTCGCCCGTCGACCGAGTGCACCGCCGCTGCCGAAAACTGTATACCGCCGACCATGATGACGACGACGTACCGTCGACGACGATCCGTCGGCCCGTCAGTGCTGCTGCTACTGCTGCTGCTCGCCGGCACTGCGAGCGCCAACAACGGCGACCCGGTGTGCGACTGGCAGCGCGTGATGGCCGCGGACGAGGCGCAGCCGCTGCGTGTCGTGCTCAAGTGCTCGCTGCGGACCATCAACAACGCAGACAGCGTCATATCTAACCTGACGTCCGCCCAGATGGACATGATCACCAGCCTGACGCTCAAGTGCAGTGACGTGATATTCTTCGAGAGCAGCCTGGAGAATAGCTTCCTCACGCAGCTGCGCCGGCTCAACCATCTGGACTTGGAGTACTGCAAGATAAAGTACGTACCGCCGGCTGTGTTGGGCACGTCCAGGGAGCTGAAGAAATTGCGGATCCGCACCCACAACACCGACTGGTCCGCCATGACCATGGACTTCCACTCGGACAGCCTGCGCGGCCTGTCGCAGCTGCGCGAGCTCGACCTGTCCGATAACAACATCTGGAACCTACCCAAGGAGCTGTTCTGCCCGCTCGTCGGGCTGGCCAACCTGAATCTGACTAAGAACCGGCTGCAGGACGTGTTCGAGCTAGGCTTCTCGGACTGGGGTAACGGGCCCACCGCGCCCGGCAAAACGTGCAATACCGCACTCGAGGACCTGAACCTGGCGAACAATGACATCATATCGATGCCTGACAACGGGCTGACTAGTCTGCGCGCGCTCAAAAAGCTCTATCTGCAGGAGAACCAGATCAACCAGATCGCGGACCGCGCGTTTGTCGGCCTCACGTCGTTGACCGTGCTCAACGTGTCTAGCAATCGGCTGTCGGCGCTGCCACCGGAACTGTTCCACTCCACACGGTATCTGCGCGAAGTGTACCTGCACAACAACTCCATTAACGTGCTCGCGCCCGGTCTGCTCGAGGGCCTCGACCAGCTGCTCGTGCTGGAGATGTCTCACAATGAGTTGACCAGCACATGGGTGAACCGCGACACGTTCTCCGGCCTCGTCCGGCTGGTCGTGCTCAACCTTGGCCACAACCAGCTGACCAAAATTGACTCGCACGTGTTTCAGGACCTGTACAGTCTGCAGATTCTCAACCTCGAGCACAACAATATCGAGACGCTCGCGGACCAAGCTTTCGCCGCGCTCAGCAACCTGCACGCGCTAACGCTGTCGTTTAATCGACTCAAGCGCATCGAACCGTTGCACTTCTCCGGGCTGTACGTCATCAATCAGTTGTTCCTGGACAGGAACCGCATCGAATCGGTGGACGAGCACGCGTTCCAGAACTGCACCAACCTACATGACCTGGGCTTGTACGGTAACGCGCTCCGACACGTACCTGCCGCGCTGTCCAAACTGCACATGCTCAAGACGCTTGACTTGGGCGGCAACTCCATTAGACACGTGCAAAACTCATCGTTCGACGGACTCGACCTACTGTATAACCTAATCATGTCCAACAACGAGATCGGAAACTTAACCGCGTACACCTTCTCCACGATGCCGCTGCTCCAAGTGGTGAACCTAGCTTTCAACCGACTGACGCACGTCGACCAACAGGCGTTCGGCACGTCCAACAAGCTGCACGCCGTCCGGTTGGACGGCAATGCGCTGTCCGACATCAAGGGTATGTTCGACGGCCTGTCCAAACTGGTGTGGCTGAACGTATCCGACAACCAAATCTCGAATTTCGATTACTCGTACCTTCCGTCCAGCGTCGAGTGGCTGGACATGCACAAGAACGCGATCAGTGACCTGGGCAATTACTATGTGCAGCGCGACACGATACAAATTAAAATGCTGGACGCCAGTTTCAACCGTCTCACCGAGATCACGGACACGTCTATACCTGACAGCGTGGAAAACGTGTTCCTCAACAACAACCTGATAAACAAAATCAAAATCAACACGTTCTTGCGGAAGGCCAATCTGTCCCGAGTGGTGTTGTACGCCAACAAGATGGAGTACATCGAGCTGGCCAGTCTGCGGCTGGACCCGGTGCCGGAGTACAAGGAGTTACCGCAGTTCTACATCGGCGACAACCCACTGAAATGCGACTGCACCGCGGAGTGGCTGCAGCGGATCAATCAACTGAGCTTGCAGCGTCAATACCCCAGGGTCATGGACATGGACTCAATCATGTGCCGATTGGTGCACTCCAAGACGGAGAAGTTCAAGCCGCTGCTTGACCTGAAACCGTCGCAGTTCCTGTGCGAGTACGAGTCGCACTGTTTCTCTGTGTGCGAGTGTTGCGACTTCGACGCATGTGACTGCGAGATGACGTGCCCGGACAACTGTACGTGTTACCATGACCACGTGTGGTCGTCGAACATCGTAGACTGCTCGAACGCTAGGTACAAGACGATCCCGGCGCGGATACCGATGGACGCGACCGAGATATACCTGGACGGCAACGACCTGGGCGACGTGTCCAGCCACGTATTCCTGGGCAAGAAGAAGCTGCAGGTGCTGTATATGAACAACAGCAACGTGGTGTCGCTGCACAACAAGACGTTCAACGGGGTGCCGGACCTGCGCGTGCTGCACATCGAGAACAACCACCTGGACCGGCTGAACGGCGGTGAGTTCGAGACGCTGCCCAAGCTCGTCGAGCTGTACCTGAACGACAACCGGATCACGAGCGTGGCCAACCGGTCGTTCGCACCTCTCAAGGCGCTTCAGGTGCTCCATCTGGAGAACAACCAGATCAACGAGTTCCGGCCATGGCAGCAGTTGAGCGCAGCCAACACGCTGACGTCCGTGTCGCTGGCCGGCAACACGTGGCTGTGCGAGTGCGATGCGATCGTGGGCCTGGACGGGTGGCTGAAGAACAACGATTACCCGCCGTCCACGATGCTGTGCTCGGACCGGTCCACGCCCGTAGCCGTGGCCATCCAGAAGTGCCAGTCGGAGCGTGACACCGGGCCCAGCATACACCGGCCGTTCTATAATACGTCCGTGCTGGGCACCGATTACGTGCCGTTCGCGGCCGCTAGCCTCGCCCTGTTCATCGTCGTGTTCGTGGTGGTCGCGCTCGCACTCGTGTTTCGCGACGACCTGTGCCTGTGGGCGCACTCGCGGTACGGCGTGCGCGTGTGCAAGTCCCCGTCGTCTGATGATGCAGACAAGCTGTACGACGCGTACATGGTGTACAGCATCAAGGACGAGGAGTTCGTCAACCACATACTGTCCACCAGCCTGGAGCGGTTCGGGTACAGTCTATGCCTGCACTACCGCGATATACACGTCATCAGCCCCGCGTACCTGATGGACAGCTTCCTGGGCGCGTCGGACGCATCCAAGCGCATCGTCGTCGTGCTGTCGCTGTCGTTCCTGCAGAACGAATGGGAGAAACCGGTGTTCCGCACTGCGTTCCAGGCGTGCCTGGAACGCGCCAAGACGAAAAAGCAGTCAGTAGTCGTGCTGCTGACTACCACCATCACGCCGGACCGTGAGCTCCAGGCGCTGCTCAAGTCGTGCGACGTGGTCACGTGGGGCGAGAAACGGTTCTGGGACCGGCTGCGGTACCTGATGCCCGACCCGAAGCCCATGGCCGGCGCGGGTGGCGACCTGAAGAAGGTGATATGCGACGGGCGCCCGGTGGCCAGGTACACGGCCGCGCCGACATCCCTGGAGGCGTGGATCCGGATGAGCCCGGCCTCGGTGACGCAGTCGCAGGCTCCCACGCAGAGCTCGTGCATGTCCGAGGAGTCGTCGCAAAGGACCACGGACGAGGACGAGGACCCGTCCAACCACAGCTACGTTTCCATTGACTACCAGCAGAGGCACAAGTTGCACCACGTGTACAGCAGTATACCGGACCCGATTTACAACCAAGCCGGGGGGAGAACTTATTTTGTCTAGAGACACTGAGCGCACTCCATTACTTTATAGTCGGTGAGTCAAAGAAATAATAATAATAATGATAGTAAAAATAAATAATAATAATGGTATCGTAATGATAACCGTAATAATAATCATAATAATAATAATAATAATAATAATAATAATAATAATAATAATAACGACGGTTTTACGACAGTCTAGTTTGAGTGGATTTCCTTATACAGAGGAAACCGCTAGCCGTGCGCGGCGATAATTTGCGGTCTCAAAGTCACGTTTATATTATTATTATTTTTTATTTTTTTACCTCATTTTTTTTTTTTTACACTTTTCTGCTTCTTACGCGAAATAACATGGCGCACAGACGTCGTTTGTCGGATGGCATAAGCTCGCTACGGGTCCCGGTGTATTACTCGTCTTCAGCTTTTTACGCACATATTTTTATCCGTGTCGAGTATAAATTATGATATTCTTTTGTAGACAATATGTCCACTGTAAAATCCGATGATTTACCGCGGAGAACTACGCGTTCCACATAATTGCCACGATTTGCACTCACGGCGTACTGGTGAATAATATTTTAATAGTGTAGACTTACGGAATTTATACGCCGCCGGTTAATTGTTTGCCGCACGCCCGACTTAATTAAACCGACCGTATCTTTCCTCGTCTCGTGGCCATGCACCCACTTGCAACCTTTTTAGATGTGTATGCATACAAATAAACGCGTATACGTTAATTAAACGGCACGCGCGCGCACATAAAGGATGCATCTTCTTCGAAAGACGATTCGGTAATTTCCGCGTCACAATCACGCACGCCAATGTCGAACGCGCGACAAAATCGAAAATAATAAAGCGTGTGGGCAGAACCGCCTCGGTGTATACGAAGATACGAAGAGTCTAAAAAAAAAAAACCAACACGGCTAAGCCCGAATATCTACACTACAGTTTACGTCCATGTATCGACGGGTACATAGTTTGGAAATTATTGGTTTTACGTTGAACCGGTTTCTCCACATTTTTTTTTCTTTACCACCATATTTTTTCCTACGGAAATTTCGCTTCTGCTCGTAGATCGTTATTTTTATTTTTTAACGATATACGCCCAACGTTAATTGCCCCGATCCTGTTTTATACAAGTATATAAATACATATTACTTAGGTTTTCTCTGATCAAATATTAATTTAAAATATAATACATATATATATATATACATATTACACGTTTGTGTGTATTTATTAAGTATTATGCCCGAACGATATTTGGTGCATTTCTACCTCACCCCTTGCGCAACAAAACGTAAATGTACACGACTATCTGTGTCGCACGGTGACTATATAGGAAATTAGTACTTAAAAATTAACGGAACGCCAGGTAGTTAAAATGAATGATTGCCCGGCAGCCTGCCGCGTGGTTGCTCGTGGTAACCGTTTTACACCGACGACTTGTGGAGACCTCTAATTTTTATCAGAGACTCTTCTTCCGAAAACATACGAAAAACATGAAAAAATACGGTAGGCTCCCCGTAGTGAATACTCGTGTAACTGTAACACATTTCAATACGGTTGTTTTGTTGAACGATGACAAAATACATATTATGGATATAAATAGGTTTTACGTTTGTAAAAAAAGATATTAAACATTAGGTAGACAAATCGAATATCCTCTGACCTTATAAACGCAGTGTCTAAACCCGGGGATCCGAATCTTTGTTGCGTTGCAAATGTTCTCTGAGAATGAAATTCTATATATAATATAGGTAATAATGAGAAATGATTTTGTTTAGTATGCTTTTCCATTCGAAATATTTTTGAACATACACTTATAATCGCATGGCTTGTTATTTTTTTCCTGATACCGTGTAAACAAATTTATGGCATTATTTGTACAATTACTCATATAGAACGATAATATGCAATATTCATGTAAACATTTAATTATTACGGGCGGTGTAACGTAATAATAATAATTAAAATACAATTATTGATAAATAGTTACTGTTATCTCGGAATTTTACCGCTTAGTTGAGAGCATAATATATTAAATAAAAACTACACCAGTTCGTATAGGAAACGAACGATTTGCATTGAAAAGATATTTATAACTGTGACATTCTGTACACAAGTCGTTGATAATCGAGTCCAATAAATTTGATCTTAAATGGAGTTATAAAAATTAATAATTTACTATAAACGCGCGTCGTACTTGACAGAAATAACGCATTACACTTTTGTTACCTCATCGGTTACTTACTGGATTTTCATTATTTATGTAACATTAAATTAGTTACGCGTCATAGATATGTGTTTCATAACCAATAGAGTTTACCGAAGTCATCTCCTCGACGGAATTTCATTTTTTATATTTATTTTTTTCGAATTACGTTTTTCTGCTGCGGGCTGACGACCGCAGATCGAAATAAAAATCGCATAACTCCGTGAGCGTATAGTAGTAGATCGATGACCGGTACGGCGGGAGGACGGACATAGCGGGGAAGGATGAAACGCGTTCCTTCTCACATCGTGCGCTCACCGCGGCGTCGCGTCCTTACGCTTTCTCCTCCCGTTTCTGTTTGTTTCCCCTCCCTCCCCCACGACTCGTTAGCTGCGGCGGCGCCGACGATGGTGGTTACGCGCACTCGTATTGTAAACCCGTAGCGTATTTCGCGTTATTATTAATACTGTTTGTCCTTACAAAATAGTAGTCGCCCTGTACACGTACACGGAGGTCGGGTTGTGCGCACGCGAAGCGTCAAAATGTTTCCCCGTTCGCCGCCGCCGTTGTCTCGCCGTGTCTTGTGTGCGCGGCCGCCGGCCGGATCGGGTACCGATTCGTACGGGCGCATTATAATGTACCTACGTCGAAAATTACTGTTATTACGACGAACGGGCGATTAGTAACGGTCCGCACCGGCTACCACTACCTATTTACAATAAGGGCATTTTTTTTTTCTTCCTTCGCTCGCTTGTTTCTCGAGCACCGCGTTCTTCGCGAGTTTACTTGTGCGCGCGCACGCACGCCTAAAGAAGAAAAGAAAAAGAGACAAGAATTCCCCATCTATTATTGCATCTCTCTTGCCCGCGACGACTTCACGTGCATGATATACGTACGATGTAATTTTAACCGTGAAAACGCGATTCCCCCGTCCTTTATTGTCCGTGTGAAATCGTGGGTGCTTCTCGATTGGCCATTCACAAAGAATGTGACCCAAATGTGTGTGTGTGTGTGTGTGTGTGTGTGTGTGTGTGTGTGTGTGTGTACGTGGACCATGTGTTTTTCTCTCCTCTTCCATTTCGCTTCTCGTCATCGTCCACTAGACATGGTCCTGTCGTCGAGATTTCGATTTCGTTCTTCGCGAACGACGCACGAATTATGATTATAATGTACATATACCGGCTATATACGTACCGGTCGCCCTCGGGCCCTCCGATATATACTCTAAGTGGGCTTGTCAGTACTAAATAAAATAAAAATAATAATAATAAAAAAACACCGGATTTCCACGCTACTTTCTCGACCGTGTAATTTTTATTAACTTCCCCTCCCAGAGGCTTCTTCTTGTTGTTCCTGCCGCTGCTCCTTAAGCTTATACACTAACCTAACCTATACAGCTAACCATTTTACTTATAATTCTCCCTAGACAATATACTTATCGAGAAATTCGCTGGAACCAAGTACTCCCAAAATGTCAATTACGTATTATTTTACATAACTAGTATACGGGTTTATTACGATGATAATAATAATAATAACAATAATTTTAATAGTAATAATAAAGGTCTTTTATGTGTATGCGTATATACGAAACTCCCACTACAGCTGTACGGTGCGAACGACATTTTTAACGAGCCCAATAAATGAACCATGCTGCGCATAACTATTAAGACCGACTGAGATTCATCCTGGTAAATCTGGAGGAAAAAAATCGTCGTTTATTTATGTGTGCGTCGTTTGGAAATCGATTTGACTCTTGTATCTTTACAAAAATAATATTTGGGTTCCAATGAAGAAAAAAAAGCCAGTAGCTCATAAATCATCATAGGAATTAATATTAATGTACTAAAACATTGCGCAAGTGGTTTTACCAATGGAAAAAAAACGGCACTGTCATTAAATTGCTATTCTACGAGTTATATTGTTTTGTTAGTTAAAACGAATAAAAATTAATGAATTTTCACTAACGTTAACATTTATAGGTACATTCCGTTATAGTATTATTGTGTATTGGTTTTTTTTTTTTTAATTATTCTATACTATAAAAATCGTCTCGAACATTCCTAAGTATTGCCGTCTAGTCATCTAGACGTAAAGGCGTACTGTACTATACAAGGGGTTTATCTTACACACGAGACCAATTGGATTGTTTGTTAATTGAAATTTCCGTGGGGAGGCGGTCAATTCGATTATACGAAATATCACGGACGTTATGTGCA